TTCATCTAGGGCAGCTATGGAGATGCTTTGTGCCATATTTTCCAAAACCTTTCTTCAGAGTTTTCACTTTAATGCAAAAATGTGTTTTCACAACTCAGCTCCGAACGACTTTTGAAAAGTGAAACAAATTTCAGTGTTTTTCAAAATGAAAGTAATCATGTGATTATGATCTCAGATGATACCATTATCTTTCTGCAAATGGAAAAAAACAAGACCAGAAAGGAAGAAAATTTAGTAAAACAAAATGAAAATTGAAAGAGTTAACAGTAAGGAACTCATGTATTTTTATCTCTCAGCAGAGGTTCCTCATTTGGGCCACAGAGTGAAAAATATTCAAGTAGAAATAGTTTCAGTTTTCCCCAGAGTGGCAGATAGCTAGTGTCTTTACAGGACCACAAGAGATAAAAACACTAATTAATTAAAAGGCATACTTTAGGACATTTTGACTTAATTATCATGAGTTAAGAAAGGGCATATTAAAGGTGATAAAAGTGCATGTACAACACACACAGGAAAAAAAAGAAGGAAGAAAAAAATAATTAAAATTAAAATATACCTAGAATGTTATCATCGACATTCAAGATGATAATGTTATACTAGTATTAAGTTATCAGTACACGATTTGGTTTTCAAATCTATCTTAATGATAATTTTAAAATTATTTCATATTCCCATCAATATTATATACACATATATTATACATAAAAGGGAAAACAGTTTATGTTTCACATGCTACTTAACACCACATTTGTTTTGACAGGGACACTCTGAGGGGAAAAGAAATGATAACAGAGAGGGAGGTAAAATACAAAAGAATGAAAAGAAAGAAAATACAAAGAGAATAAGTGCAGGTTTAAACTCTTCTGGGTGGCTCCAAATATACAGCTCTGGTCACTTCCATCATTACCCAAAACAAAATTAAGCAAGATAAAGTACAGAAGGAAAGGGAAAGAAAGAAGACTAAAAATTTGGGGGGAAAACCTGACCATATTCTACCTGTGTCATTGAGGAAATATTTGATTCATAGAATTACTAAGAATGCCTATATAAGAGAATATAGAGATTACACTATCATGATTGAGTGAAATTTAATTTGTTCCTAATGGAAAATAGTCAAAATATAAAATTTGACTCAAAATATAAAATATTTCTATCACCTCAAAATGTTCCTTGATGTACTTTTGCAGTTCCTCTTTCTACTTCTGGACCCAGGCAGCCATTTACCTGTTGTCAATGGAGATGAGTTTTGTTGGTTTTAGAATTTTACATAAAGTATGTACTCTTGTGGGTGTGGTGTCTTTTGCTCAGCATGTTTTTGAGTGACATCCATATTGTCACACAGACCAACAGTCCATTCCTTTGTGTTGCTGGGTAGGATTTCATTGTGCGGATATATAATAATTTGTATATCCATTACCCCATTGAGTTGTTTTAATTTGGGGCTATAATAAATAAAACCAGCATAAATATTTCTGTTAAAGTCTTTTTTTGCACATTTATTTTCTAATGTTTTGAGGAAATACCTAACAGTAGAACTGTTAGGTAGTACAGAAAATATATGTTTGTGTCCACTCCTCTTTTTTGGTGATAAAAACACTTAACATGCAGCCTGAGAGGTGATGTCTATAACCTTGATTGTGGTGCTGGTATCACAAGTGTTCGTATATGTCTAAATTCATCAGATTACACACATTAAATATGTGCAGTTTTTAAAATATAATTTACATTTAAATAAAGCTGTGTTTAAAAAGGAATATATATATTTAATTTTATAAACATATAACATTTTTCAAAGAAGTTGTACCATTTCCACCATTAACATAAAATAGTTCCAGTTGTTCCACATCAACATTTGATATGGTAAACCTTTGAAATTTTAACCACTCTAGTAGGTATATGATGGTATCTAAATGTAGTTTTAATATGTACATTTCTAATGATCTGCTGAACATTTATTTTCTCATGTGCTTGTGGCAATTAACATATGTATTTTGTAAACTTTATTTAAATAGTTTGCCAATTTTTATAGGATTATTTGTCCCATTAAGATATTCTATGTGTATATATGTGTGTGTGTGTGTGTGTGTGTATAAAACAAGTTGTAACATAATGTATAAATAATATGGAAATAATCCCTTCATCAGATATATGTATTACACATACTTTCCACCATTTGTAGAGTATCTTTTCATAAAATTTAATAAAAGTATTTCTTTACTGTCTTGTCCAGGTATATGTCACTTCTCCTCATCTCTGCCATAAAACATCCCAGAGGGAACTAGATTATCTTGACATATCTCAGAACATGATATAGATTAGACTCTATTGTACAAAATAGATTCATTACACTGATGAAATCATGCTAGTTGTAACTGGTGAAGAATGAGCAGTAAACATCCTATAACTATAGAATGACATATATTTACCAGCAAGAATCTTATCTCATTTGACTAATTTGACTTAATAGATCCTAAAATTAAATTGTACACCAACATTCTATCATAAACTCAAAAGGAATATATTGGAGATTAGGCCTGAGCAGTTTCAAAAAGGCACAAATAAGCAAATGAGCAAATGGCTGAAACTCTCATGGTTCACTTCTGTATTAATTTTCTCTCTTGACTTCAACCATGTATATGGCCTTGGGGCAGGAACAGAAAAGGTGTTGGAAAGGGTCCCACATGTTCATGTAGTGTCGATGTAAAAGGAAAAGTTTTATCATTGAACATGAAAAGTATGCCAACTAGAAACAGATGCCACGTTATAGCCTCATTCAGAGGGTGGTCATGAAAGACAGAGATGAAGTTAAATCTTCATGTTAAACAGAAATTTAGGTGATATGTCTGGCTATCCTTCCGGTAGGAAAGATGAACACTCAGAGATATAAATTCACTTATTATCAAAGATTAATGGGTTAGGCGACTGGGCAAGAACTCAAAAAAAAAAAAACAAAATTAGAAAATTAGTGACAAAGAGATTTGAGGGAGAGGTGCAAGAATTATTCAGAATGACACAGATTGTGAAGAAGTTCATCCCCAGACAAATACCCACAATTGATAGCTATAGTTGAGGAAGAGATTTTCAATGTTCAGGCAAACAAAATGGTATGTGTTGTGGGCATCAGGAAGCCTCTTTCCCCAGACACTCTGAGGTTTGATCAAAGGACCAATGCAGAGCAGTCATGTAGCTGAAATGAATCCTATGCACGGGATCAACAACATTGTCTTTTACCACCTGAGGACTACCTGGAACTAATTAGTGCTCAATCTACCAAATGCAATGGCCAAATCTGTGTCCCAGATAAGATATCAATTCTGGGAAGGACAGCTGTTAACCTGGTGGCAGATTAATTACACTGAGACTCTATCATATTGAAGAGGGCAATACCAGGTTTTAATAAGGTAGACTCTTAATCCAATAATGAATTTGACTTCTTGCCCACAGATTTTCTGCATTACCATCATCCATAGACTCAAGGATTCATAGTATGCTATGTCCAATTTATCATTGTCTCTGCACTGATCACCTCTTGAGAGCCACTTCAGGCCATCATAACCTCACCTCTCTCAGGGGTTTTGAACAATTATTGAGGCTGTTATGACATCTGATTTAACATAGGTCTGATATTACCTTTCCTTATGCCCTTATTGTATGCTCCTCACTGCTGGCCTGAGACTTACCAGTTGTCACTGAAAAGTAACATTTTTCTCTGTGTGTATGCATGAACAACACCAAAGTGTGGTAAAGATAGTACCTTGTAGAGCAAACTTTTTACCAGTGAGAGGGTAGAGCTGTGGTTAGATTTTCTCCCATGGGAAATAATTCTGATCCCACTAATTTGATCTATTATTTTCCTGTTTTGCCTCATCTAAGCATTTTTAAATTAAATTTATTGAAGTTAACATTGGTTAATAGAATTATATGTTTCAAGTATACAATTCAATAATAGATCATTTGTATATTGCATTATGTGTTCACCACCCAAAGTTAAGTCTCCTTTTGCCACCATATATTTGACCCCTTTACCCTTTTCTGTCTCCTCCCTTTCCCCCTTTCCCTCTGGTAATCACTAAACTGTTTTCTGTGTCTGTGAGTTTTTGTTTATTTGTATTGTTTGTTTGTTGTTTTCAGTTTTATATCCCACATATGAGTAAAATCATATGGTTCTCAACTTCTGTCTGACTTATTTCAATAGCATGATGATCTCGAGATCCCTCCATCTTGTCACAAATGGCAATATTTCATCTTTTCTTATGACTGCATAATATTCCATTATGTGTATGTATCATATATTCTTTATCCAATCATATACCTAAGGACACTTCAATTGTCTCCATGTCATGGCCACTATGAATAATGCTGCAATGAACATAGTGCATATATCTTTATGGGTAAGTGTTTTCAAATTTTGGGGGTAGATACCCAGGAGAGAGATTGCTGGGTCACATGATAATTTTAGTCTTAATTTTTTGAAAATAAAAAGCATTTTTATGTAGACCCTACTAGCCCAATATGTCCCCAAATAGCAAAATGATTATTTAAATTTTTTTAATTTAAAATTTTTATTCTGATTTAGACAGACACTGATTTAGTTTATTTGGTATTTTGTTTATTTGTTTTATTTCATTTTTTTCTGACTATAATATAAAATATATGAGGGTAGGAAGTATGTCTTGTTTACTTTTATGTTTCTAATACTCTGTACACAAGTGACTGGTACATTGTAAGTGTATAATAAATATTTGTTGAAGAAAATGGAACAAAATAGCCACCTTTACCTTGTAGCATACAGAATTTTAGCCAGACATTAACATACCTATTTTCATTTACCAACACATCCGTTGTGGTTTTGGACAGTGATACATGAATAAATTTTAGCTATTTTTGGACTTCCTTTTAGTATTGGGTACATTGTGCTAGGAGAACTATCCAGGGTGACAGTATTCTCCATTTCCTTTATACTATTTTCTGTGTAATATCATATGGAAACATTTGAAGAGATGGAAGATGAGGATGGCTACATGATGCTGAATTGCAAAAATAATTTCAAATACAGGCAGAAAACTAAAGGTAAGAATATTGTTTCTCTCCACTCAGACTCCAGTTTAAAATTGCATTATTCTCTTAAGGAAGACAATTATATTTGAATATTTTTAAATCATTGAAATTAACTATATTCTGGGATTTAAAAAAAATGGTTATAAGTTGTCTAAAATAGTTTATTTAGACTCATGTATCAACAATTTAAAAAAACCAGTATTTTTGAAGTCATGGGGCAAGAGAAATGCTAATAGGATGATGTATAATCTCCTCAATGTTGTAGCATAAGAATAAAAATGTAACTTTTAAGTAAAAGATCAAAGTTAGCATTTTTACAGAAATTATTCTTTCTACAAAACATAAGACTTTTGAAATCAGTTTTTTTAGGAGGTATAATATCTATATTAAGATGCCTATTATTACACTCAGAAGATGAAGATCAAATGCTGATGATGAGAGTAGCAGTGGTCCTATAGTGTTTTATAGCTTAAAAAGTACTTTTATATATACATATTGCATTTTTAAAAAATCTTTTAAAAAGAACCATAGGATTGTCAGAATAATCTACTGGGAATGAGAGAAGGGCAATATAAAACATTAATCTTTGCCACTTAGGGCTACTGTATCAAGTCTAGGTTGTTCTTTTTGTTTTGTTTTGTTTTGTTTTCAGATCTGTTATAGTTTCTATAGACAAGTTTAATAAACACAATAATGATGTCTAAATTCAGTTGGTCTAAAATAAATTTTAAAAATAATTCTGTTTCAATAGTAAAGATCTAAGCTGAGGTGACTGGGCCAGAAATTTAGAATTGCTGGTAAAAAACAAAGCTCTGTCATACATATTCTTGTTGAACATCCTCATGTACTATCTTGATTTTTATCTAGCGAATTCAAGATTATTTTTTTAAAAGACATGCTACTTTCATTGTCATCTGAAGGCTCAAGGTCTTTTTCATGGTGTCCATAACAGGAAACAAACTATTTCTTTTTCACTAGCAACTTATTTCGATGTAATAAAATCTAAGACCATTGAAGTTAAATCGACTGAATTGGACTCAACTCTTCAGACTAAGTACGTGGCCTTGGGCAAAATCTTTTTGTTTTCTTAAATATAAAAACTTTTATTTGTAATAAAGTGAATCTATCTTGTGTTGTTTTCTGTAGATGTTAAACTAAATTATAACGTTTTTCTTTAATTTATAAAACAACTTGTAACAGACAAGTGAGTTATAATATATAAAATTTGAGTGTAGGTACATAAAATACAGGATAATATCCATTTAAATTATGGGTGAAAGAAGGATAGGGCTTGGAACATAAATTGGGCCTATAATTAAGCAACAGTTACATTACTGTAAGCATGTTTTTATCTGCTATAAATTTGTTTTTAAGCTTCTTTGTAATTAATGAGTAAGGATAAGCCGACTAATTATTTGATTCTTATTGTAAGACAGTTACACCTATTGCTTAAGATGAATATAATTAATTTCATTACTAAATCTAGAAAGAAAATTTTGCCATCACAAAGCAGCTATAAATAATACAATTAGTGTTCTTGCAGTAGTAATAATAACAGGTTTCATAAAGAAATTTCTTAATATTGCCCTACAGATGCCAATGACAGCCAGTCAAGCAATTCTGGAATGGACCAATGCAATGCACTGCAGGTACTCAACTCTCCGGTCACTTGGCTTGACTAGTATTATTGTGGTTGAGATAAAAAAATATTAATTTTTAATATACAGCTATAACATTATTTGACAATGAGTCTAAAATTTCCCTTCCTGGCAAGTATGGAACTAGCTAACTGCAGATCCATATACCTAGGATTAGTATACCCTTGTAATTTGCAGAAATGTATTTTGAGGACTTTTAGCTAAATAGAAGTCTTTCTACCTTTGCTTGAGTGAAGAAATAGCCAAAGGCGAGAAAAAAATAGAAACTCACTTCAAATTTGTTTTGTAATAAAGACAATTGGGTAGTAAATTTCAAGTTTCACTACATACAGCACATTCTATAACTCTATACTACAGACATAAAGAGATGCACTAACTCCATAAAAAATAATTGATATAAAACATTCACATATTACCCAGATTTGAGAATTAGCACTCTTTTATTATGACAGGATAAAATTTATTTGTAAAATGTACAATTACAGCTGAGAAATTAAGTGCTTGTTTACTCATAAGCTAATAAAAACTGGGAAATAATTATCTGAGTATCAAAGTACTTGACTTTGGTCACTAGGAAGGCAAATTGGTTACCATGCCTCTAGACTAAGAAAATATTCCTATGAATTATACATGTAAAAAGATACCTGTCTTCTTTTTTTTATGGAAAGAGTATATATATCTAACTTATTCAAGGGTGAAAATAGATAAAATTAAAAGAGAATAACAACATATGTATCCCTGTGTAATGTCTCTGAAGTTTCCTCATTTATTCCTCTTTAAAGACACTATTCCTGCCAACTCTGGACTACTCTGGCAAAAATTCTAAGTGAACAGTATTAACCAGAGATCTATGCTGCTTAGGCTGACACTGATTCCTGTAGAAAAAGTCAAAGCCAGGGAAATACAATATATTATGTAAAGGTGAGATAGCATGTCCCAGTACAGTGACTGGTAAAAAATAGAGCTTCAATAAATGTTCCTTTCCTTATTTTATTTCTAAGAGTGAATCATTAAAATAAATAACACACATGAGATATATATATGTATATATACATACTTGGCATTGAACAATCCAAAAATAAAATTAAGAAAAACAATTCTATTTACAATAGCATTATATATATGTAATTTTTTCCATATGTGATATATATGGGATATATAGATATATATTATACACTATATTATTTTT